TTTCACAGCTTTAAGTTGACAATGAGAGGAACTTGAATGTGTCCAGACAAACTATTTCATCGATTATTTACCAACGAGTTGTGGTTTGAGTTGGGGGCAATGCGACTAAAACAGTAATTGAAATTCAGGACACTATTTTTTAAAATGCGTTGCTTGAATAAAACTAACCAGACACATTCAATTTACCAGACTATTGAACAACTAGGAAAAGTAAAAAAAAATACTTCTTATCGCCAGCATAAATGCGTAATTTTTTTTTTTTTACAGAAAAAGTAATTTTCCACCTTTGATTGAGTAACGCGTCGTAGAATGCAGATACGGGCATGCAAAATACACTTGTGAAAAGCTTGAAGTCTGGCGATTCTAAAAATATATACTTTCCCAGGTCTATTTGTAGTCATTTAGTCACAATTAGAAGATGAAAACAAGCATGCAAATAATAGTCCCGCTACCTTAAATCACTTGCAAGTAAAAAAAGATGGCCGCGGGGTTGCGTCCAGCTTCTATTAAAATTAAAGCGTTCTCTAATAAAATTAAAATTTCTATTAAAGTGAATCTCAGTAATTACGGTACAAGATAATATCTTACTGGGGGCCCTGGGTAAAATATCTAATATGTTACCATCTTAAGAGGCTAAGCCTTATTGTTTCACGTGTCACTTCCCATAATAATGCGCGTCATTCGTCATAATTTTCAAGGAAGTGGCGACCACTCGACCCTTAGTTTTCATATCACATTTGATGTAACATTGGGCTTGGGTAGGACCACATCGCCTGTGCAATTGTGTCTAAATCAAGATTTAGAATGGGTTGGCGATGACAGAATTGAAAAGCAAAAATATTTTGCACTGGAAAAAATAACAAATTGTACAACATATTTATCCTGTAAATGTAATAGCACAAAACTAAGTGAAGAATATTTTGCAAAAAATGTCCCTTCAGTGGTTTCTAATGGCATCACAGTTAAAACAAGTACAAGTAACACTACTATATCAAACCTACTTGAATAACTGGGATTTAACATGGTCACAACTCAAACGCGTGAGCGCTATCGAACACCATTTGAAGGGAATTCCAGCAAAGACTGGGAAAAGAAGGCGGGAATAAGGTGGGCGTGCATACATGAATAACAGAAGATCGCTGTGAGTATCATGCATGGCAGGCTTTACCCAATGCTGTGCTGAATTTGTAAATCATTTACGCGTTTTATAATCATGTTGAAAGACGTGTGGAATTTGAATAGGAATAAAAATCACTGTGAAAAGTACATAAGGTGTTACAGACTTCGTTGTATTTTACGCATATTGATATTTTTGTTAAAGTATATCCTATCTTGGACTGGAGCAGACAGATTGTTTTGAATATTAGAATGCAGCCAATGCAATCATCGGAATGGATATAGACGTTAATCTGGTTCAGTCTAGTGAATATTATGTTCGCTTTGAACCACTTTAAAAGTTAATAGTTATTAAAGTACTCAAAAACGAATATGATTGCACACAAATACCATAACTTATTTGAGGCTAAAAAACACTATTTATTAATGAAACAATTCAATTTGTGTTGTACTGTACATGTACTCGTACGTGTTATTTTTATTTTGTTTTGGGTAACAAAAATGAAGTCTGGCAGCACTATTAGTTTCCAATTAGGGGAACTGCCCTGCAGTTGATCTACAAAGTATGGATGTTCTTTTATTCTTGATTTGACCAAACGTGGCCTAGTTCATGAGCCCAAATGTATGACCAAACATGTTTCACTTATCCCCCTCAGAGTATTTTGTTACATTATAATGAAATAGATCACATGGGAGCTTGAAACTTTGTTATTGTCATTGTTTAAAGTTAAAAAATAGAACTGTTTAGTTATATTCATTATTTAAAGTCGTGGTATCTACTATGAATTCACGGATGGTCACGTGACTACAACTATGTCAATAAATGCGTGCTCCGACAAAATTCACGTTTTTTTCCAGAGTGTGAGTATATATGAAGTTTTACTTGACTGTAAAAAAGTGAATTTAGTCTACTTTAACTATGGGAGTAGAAGTAAATCAGTGGAGAGCTGTTATTGGGGTATTTTGCCAACCTATAAGTTGGAAGTCTTTCCTGCTGGACGGAAGCTATATGTCTGAAACAACATGGTCGCCAATGAACGACTTTTCATATTGGACGATTTGTTGTATGTTTGTTATAAGTTTGACTCTTGGCGGTAGATCTTTGCTACTGAACACAAGATTGTGTACTTATTCATGGCTTGAAGCAACAAATAGAAAATTAAAGTTTTGCTTTTGATGATATGACGGAGATGAAAGCTCGGCCACATATTCTATTGTTAGGTTTGAACGAACGTAACGTCATACATAATACCGTTTACACGTGTCTCTCATTACGTAACAAGACCAGTCAACCAGTCAATGACCTTGACTTTAAATACAGCATTGGCAAATTGCCAAGGTGAACATTTAAAAAAACAAAACATCCAGGTATTATTGCTCTGCTCTTGTACGCGGGTAATATCGAAAAAAACCCGGGACCCAAACAAGAAATTATAAAGGCTATGCAAGAAATTAAAAGCGACCTTCTTAAAGAAAAAAAAAACGAAACGGCTGTGAAATCAGACAAGAACTAAAAAAAATTAAACAAAAGCAAGAAAGCTACTCTCATCTAGATGGCTAAGTTTCAGCTTTGAAGAAAACGGTTTAAAAATTAGAAAATGATGTTAACAAATCTCACGAAGCATGTAATATAAATGACATCGACGTGTCTGCCACTAATAAAAAATTAGATGAAATTACTGAACGCCTGAGTATCTTGGATGAGGATGCTGACAGGCAGGAATCTTTCTCAAGACGAGACAATGTCCGACTATATTGTATCGCGGAAGAGAAGGGAGAGTCGCCCGAAAAATGTTTAGAAAAGTTAATATACTAAACGTGTATGTGAAAAGGAAGATGTGGGTTAAGCGCGATATCGTAAGGGCCCATCGCGTACCAAATAGACCTGAACCAGGACGCACGCTATCAATAATTATTAAATTAAAGATTGTATCACTTGCTGCCCGCCCTGTGTTGAAAAAGGAAGGAATTGGAATTGGTAACGATTTGACTCGCCGTCAACGAGAGAAATTATCCAAGCTTAAAAGTCAAGGGAAAAAGGGATATTACAAATCCGGGAAATTTGTCATCATTGTGGACACAGGAACACAGAACGGAAACAAAAACCAGTGCTACATAGAACAGGGCCAAGAACACGTCTTCAAAATCGACTATCCCGCGCAGCTGATGAACCAGTAAATACTGATGACATTAACATTGATTCAAGCTAGGATGCTGGCCAAGGCTCACCAACACATGATATGCGTTTTATACCGTGGAATGTTAGAGGTATCAAGTCTAAAGTTATCATAGAAAATGAGTTCCGATTGGCAGCATCGAAATGTCATATGATAAAGCACATAACTAATTCGCCAACAACGCAATCTCAATAGTTTGATTCTCAGTTTTAAGAGAATTAAAAATAAATGTACAAATCATTACGTAAGTTCCGCAATACAAATATTTCACTAAACTTACAAGAATACCAGGCAATTCGTGAACAGTTTAAAAATGAATGTTGCACCAAAAAGAGAGATTATATAAACCACCTAAAATCTGGGCTCGTGGCCACCGATACTAAATTGTCCTGGTCAACCCTTCGGCGCATTAACTGTTTGACGAGTTTGGGTAGATCGCGTGGAGTTATCACATCCGACCAATGGTTTTAGTAATTTATTCGTTCCCAAAGAGGGAGAATTTGCTCTAGCAAGTGACTTGTAAAAGATGTTTGATTCCGTAGATGATCTCCTCCCTGGTACTAAAATTAAAATTGATTGGAACATTTTAAATGGTCCTATTATCGAAGAGGAAATCCATGAAAGTATTCGATGTCTCAAAAATGGCAAATCAGCCGGACCTGATGAGCTTATTGGGGAATTTTTTAAGGAGGCATCGAAGAAAATAGTCCCATGAATAAGTATTCTGTTTAATCATATTTTTGATTCTGGCAAATGTCCATGTGAGTAGTCAAAAGCAATAATTATTCCCATATACAAAAAAGGTTCCATGAACGACCCCGGAAATTACAGAGCCATCTCCTTACTAAGTGTTTTGGGGAAAATATTCATCTCCACTTTGAATAGACGTCTATGTTTTTGGGCCGGGCCCTTGGAAAAATTGACGAATCACAAGCCGGATTCAAAAAAGGTTATTCCACTTTTAACAGTATATTTGTACTGCAATCATTAGTGCAAACATATCTTCCAAAAAAGCGTGGCAAATTCTACTGTGCATTCGTCGATTTTCCCAAGGCCTTCGATACTGTCGAAAGACAGAGGCTTTGGTATACTTTACTTAAAGGAGGTGTGAGGGGCAAAATGTTTAAAATCTTGTTTAGTATGTATTCTAACGTGAAATCGTGTCAGAACTGGGAGTGGATTAACTGAGTTTTTTTTAGTGTAAAACGCCAGGGCTGTATGCTGAGCTCGTTTCGATTTTCATTTTTTATCAATGAGTTAGTAAGGGAACAAACTGAACAGCATGGCGTTCAACTGTACCCAGATTTGGAACTATTCTGTTTGCTATTTGCAGATGATGTTGCCATCTTTTCAGACAATGTTATGGGGCTCCAGCGACTATTAAACGCCTTAAGAGCATATTGTGACAAATGGGAAATGACCGTAAACCTAGAAAAGACAAAAATAATTTAAAAACGGCGGCCTTTTGTCAAAGCATGAAAAGTGGTTTTATGACGGTAAACACATAGAAGTAGTTTCTTACTACAAATATCTAGGTGTATTGTTTTCATGTATATTGCAATGGTCGTCTGCCACTAAACTTTTAGCCCAACAAGCAAAAAAAAAAAAAAAAAAAAAAAAAAACAATTTTCACAATATTTAGAAACACCAACAAAGTCTGGCCTTTAACATATGAAGTATTTTTTTTTAAATATTTGATTCAATGATATTGCCAATACTGACATATAGATCAGAAATCTGGGGGTTCAAAAAATATCACTGTCTTGAAAGAGTTCAGTATTTATTCTGTAGGCATTTCCTTGGTGTGTCAAATAGACCACCGAATAACAGTGTCTTGGGGGAATGTGGCAGATACCCAATCTGGTTTTATACAGCCAAACGTTGTGTGAAGTACTGGGCTAAAATTATCAATATGTCCACGTAAATGTTATGAAATGTTGTATACCATAGAAGAACCTGGGGTACGATCAAAAGGTACGTGGGTTGCAGAAGTTAAAAGATTGCTGTCTTTATGCAATCTTGACCATTTTTGGTATTCCCAAGAAGTTGGTAATATCAATTTAATCTTGGAAATGTTTTGCGAAAGATTTCAAAAATAATTTGTACAGTAAGTGGTTTAGTGATATTTGTACCATGACTAAATTAGATACATATCGTGAATTTAAAACAAATCTAACATTAGAGAAATATATTACTTGCATAACTGTTATTTCACACAAAAATGTCTTATCACGCTTTCGCTGCTCGGCACACTGTCTTCGCATTGAAGTAGGCAGAGGGGCAATCAAAAGAAACCAAAGGATATGTCAACTTTGTGAAACAAACCAAATAGAAGATGAGTACCACTTCCTGTTAGTCTGCCCTTTTTATAACGAATTTCGTAATAGATATCTTACCCGGTTACTCTTTTAATGAAATCACATGACGATGTCATTTTGAAACGTCTTGGTGAATATGTATTTCATACATTAAATGTTAGGTTTATTGTAATATTTACTATACAAACGCACAAATGTTCTTTGTTTTGTAATCACTTTATGGGCCGAATATAATATAATATTTGTGAATAAAGACCATACATAGAATAAGAATTCATTGTATCAGTAAAAAACACTTATATACTGTAGGATAATCTGAAATGTTTTGATTAAGTAAATCGCCTCTGACTAAACATTCCGATAGCAATGTAATCCACAAATGCAGGTTGAGTTAGAAATCTTTAGCACATACAATCAACATCTTTACGTCCTATCCGAAAGGACGCCATTCTCCCAAATAGTAACGAGTCTGTTAAGTTTGCCAACTATGAGAGTTGAACAGACAATCTTTTTGAATATGAACGGACACGCTAACCAATTTGCCACGTATCAGACACAATATTGTCTCACATGAGTTATTAAAGCATATCACAACGTTTTGCATATATTTCATTATGCCTTATTGCTCAATTAGTTAAATAAATGTAATTAGATTTAGTTAAGCTTTAGTTATAGCGATAAAAAGGAAAAAATAGAATCAGATGGTACATAATACAATACATAATAGGTACACGTGTATTGTAAATCCATGTATTTGATGAGTCATTGAGGTATATTTTGTGGTTTTGAAGGGTTTATTTGAAAACATTTATTCGTTAATGCAAAACATCAGTAGAATGGTACAAATCAGATTAAGGCACGGATTAGTTGGCGAATTTATTGTCTCTGTTTTTTCCGAACATATATACACTAAATCGCTACCAGAATTTTGGATAAATTATATCAATTAAAAGAAAAAAAAAATCCCATAGAAAGAAAGTTATATTTTACCTTCACTGCTTCACGAACATCTCCCCAACCAAATGCATAAGAACGTGTATACAGTGTATAATTCACATAAAGTTCTTCTGCATCATCGAGGTAAGTTGTGTTCTCAGTTTCAAGGTAGAGTAGCCCTGCTGCCCATGCTAACTCATCACCAAACCTTGTAGACCTATGAAAAAACAGTTAAAAGTTATTAAATATATTTGGGTGGTTTGCTCTGCGCGACGACCACCGCATTTTAATATTACCGGACAAACTGGTTCAATTTTAATTTGCCGAATAAGCTTGTGCATTTCGCATTGTTACTCTTACTTGTTAAACTTTGGTGTTAAAGTAAATGAGTACTGAGGAATTTATTTTTAATTAGTGCTGTGTTGTATTTACAAACTGAACAATATGTTGGTTATGTTAAAGATGATGTACTCGGATTCTGATGACATGTAATGTAACATGCATATGATATATTAATATACATACATATAGTATAACATAGAAGGGTATGTCCCTCGATATGTCATGGCAAATTCATACAGACTTTCGGCATATGATCTACACTCCGTGGAATAATCGGGATCTATTTAATGAAATTTGAAAACATGTTAATGGAATAGGGCATGAAGCAGTGTGCTATACGATGGTTCATGAGTTATGAATTACACAGTGTTCTAATATTTAGTGAAATTATTGAGATATCTGGACTCAGTAGATAATAGTAAATACGTCGCCAACATAAATGCTGTTTTTGTGTCTCACCTCTTGTTTTCCACACTGCAGCACATGTTGCCAAGGCAGCAGCAGTAGCACCTGCCACATCTGATCCTGGGTGATCAGTATCACATTTATATGCAGGTCTTGGTGCTTGCATATCTTCTGGACGTTGCCACTCAGAATGATCATTTCCAACCTGAAAAAAATAAGTCATTGTTATCTTACAGAACACATTCAAGACAATGAAAATGGAATGTATACAAGAACAAACATAAAATAATTCCTATTCACATAACATTTAACGTCATATACATGTATTTACATTGGCAGACAAACCCATAGCGTATCACTCCCTTTTCTAGTCCAACAAGGATTCATACAGTGATTTTGTAATTTGTAGAGAAGAAAAAATGGCTGATTGTTATGATTTCAGTCTAAGCTAAACCTTGTTTGAATTTAAAACGATAGTTTACATATAGAACTATTAGCTCTATCTCGATTCATTAGAGAAATTATTTCACTTCAACAATTGTTTCCCTCAACGGGAAATGACACATCAAAGCAGATTAAATTGGCAGTAAAATATATGCAATAACATGCAAATAAAAATCACTACTGTCACTACAACTGTATTGTAATATACGTCTCGAGTGGAATAAGCAATGTATGTATATAGTATATATATATATATATATTATTATGTGGCATATATGCATATATGCACTATATTGCTCAGTTACTAAAATCCTGACATTTCAGCAACACAAAATGCCCTCTTCGGGGAGCAGAATAGAATGAAAATAGAAATAGGGGGGGCACAATGAAAAAGTTGAAAAAGCCGAATTGTATACCTGATAGTAATATACATTGGTCGTTTTGTCATAGCACTTAATAAAATAGTCGCATGCCCACTTGATCATGTCCATTGCTTTCCAATATTGAGCAGCTGCTTTATAACCATCTTTCCATATCATTAATGAATAACCAATAACAGAAGTACTGTATGCCATGGGTAAATTGAATTTCAGGTTGTCCCCAGCTGTGAATAACAACATGGTTGATGGTTAAAGACATACTTCGTATTCTAGATATGTATGTCTTCATTCAACTCACAATGGGCCAACATGTCTGCTCCAGCTCAATCTGTACAAACCCACTTCCAACATATCAACATAGTTGACACCGGGTTGACACCACACTAACATGTACACTTACTCGTCTATGCTGTTATTATAATAATGTTAATGTAGTTCTTGTCATTCCCAAGTACACGTTTCAGGTCAATGTCCTTCATCTGTGTAGTACCTATACAGTGTTTAACTAATTAACTAATACTTTAATAATTTATAATATTTTTTGAGAAAATTATTCAGATATTACTGACAGAAACAAAGATGTTGTAATATTCTCGGCACAAATCCGTTTACAAATCATCGTCACAATTCAAAATGAAACGAAAGGTTTATATTACCCCATAGAATAACATTTGAAAATTGACAAATGACGTCATGCCGCTCGTTATTTACGTGGTTCGATTCAACTGCCATTGAATATAGATATAGATATTTTTTTTTATTTAAAGTAGATATTATTGAAATGGGTTTGCTGGTTGGCAACTTACCGTCATAATAGCCACCCGTCAAATCTTCTCCATTGTCACCTACGTCACCCAAAGCAGAATCGCCGCGCCATTTAATCCGGTTATCGTCGGACAGTTTTCCAGAACGCTGGGCTTCATAAAACCTTAGACTGTTTTCTATAAGGAGGGCGTAATCGTGCGGAATATCTGGTGATAAAACAAATACAATTGAGGTATGTCTTGAATTCCCACACTTGTCATCGGTTGACTTCAGGTGACAGGTTGAAGTGTGGAAATGTCACCTATTATAACATGGTTAGGCCACACTGATTTAACTTTATGGAAATCCCAAAACTAATGCGAGATGGCGAAAACAAAATCCTGCCCCCCCCCCAAAAAGCTGGTATTACGAATTGAACCACAGAACACAGTGTATCAACAAAACAACAAGAAGTCTTTATTTGTAGGAGGCACATGCAGATGTACAGTATTACTATCACAGGTATAACCATTTCAGACAAGCTCTAGTACATGTAGTCATAATGAAGTACCTTCAGTCAGAAACACTGCATTCAAGGTACAGCATGAACACCATTTTCAGTACAAGTCAAGGCGGAATGTACATATCGCTACTTTATGACAATAATTAACAAAATATTGCAATGATACAAAAATGTCCTTGCTTGCTCCTCTCTACTGTCTACAACAATCCCCCCGTTTTACCTCTGAACTTTCATGCTCACGTATTTTGGTGGCGTAGTCGCCATGTTGGACTTCCCGGCAATAAGAAGATTATTTACGACAAAATTGGCAAAATTGGTTTTGAGGTAGTTGAAAACGAGTTTTATGACAAGCCGGCGCTTTGCGACAATATGAGTCGGCAAGTTCCGGACAGAAAACCGATCTGTGGAGACTCGTCGTCGGAATTATTTTTTTTTAGAACAGGCGAAAACTAATGCGCGCGCGGATGTCATCCATAAAATTAAGTCGGTGTGGCCTTACTATGAATCTAGCAATATTGGCTGAAGCAATGTCTAATCGTATATACGGCACTAGAACAAATGCAGTATTGATGTACATATAACCTGCAAGGAAACCAACACGTAATCGGTGTCAAATGACACAATTGTAACACTAGCACTGACAGCGCTTCCTCGAAATTATTGCTCTGACTATGTAACAATTGGAAGGACAAAGTGCAACAGACAACTACGGAATTGGAATAATGGCCGTCATTTAAAAAATGATTCCAATTGGTTTACACAATTCATTAGGACTATCTTTAAACGAAAAAGTGAACTTTTGGGTTGAACACTGTAAGATATTGATACAGAAAACAATTGTAAATTGTCGAATACTAACCCCGGGGTTAGCCACTTCACCAAAATGTGATTTTAAAGAGGCAAAAAGCCAAAACGGCGTTCGATATCATGCAAATGAGAGTTGTCAGCCGCAGACACAACATTACACTCAACAAACGTAGACCACTCTGTTTCGTTTTTCCTGTCGTTCTAGACTACAAAAGTCGTTTAATAGTGGGGTTATATTCAAAATACTGTAACATACTTCCCCGTGGTATAACTTCATATTATGCTAATCAACTATTGTTAGGGAAAGGATCATCATGTTAAAACTATGAATGAAAAGTATGTGAACTAGGGTGAGTTTAGGGCAAATAAAACAATAGTTAATACTGCAACCAAACAGCAGTATAACACTAAAATTAACTATTAACTAATTAAATTACAATTTGAATAATATAATGAATCCCATAAAAACATCATTGATTTGTCCATATAAATACTCAATATGAATGGCAACAAGCGATCCAATTGAATTGTATACTCACTGTTTCGTCTGTGTCTATGTGCCTCATCAGATGCCCCTTCGACATTAGGAAAATCTTCCACCCATTTCTTTTCTTCAGAAAAATCTTCCGGCCAACGAACTGGGGGTTCTTCAAATGGCTCTGGCGGATCCTCGCAACAAATGTCGCCGCAAATCGATAAAAGTATGGCTATGCAACACACTACCTTGACCGTCATTGTATCTTTATAGAGTGTACGCTGACAAGACTTCTATTTATATGTTAGTGGTCCAGTGACAAAACAGTGTGACATTCTATGAATTATCATTACTAATGTGAACATAACCAAAAGCTTGGATGCATTCAACCCCATGTTAAAAGGTCATTTAAGCTCAGTTTCAATGACGAATTAACCAACTAGAACAATAAACAACAATAACATTAAATAAAAACATTAAAGTAAATGAAAAATCAGTCAAAAAATATATATATATACAAGAACCGATACGTGTATTAGTGGTAGTGGATGCTGGTGGAAGGGCTGTTCTGTCAGCGTGGGGCAAATATGAACGTGATGATGAATGCCCGGGTAAACAAGATGTGTACTACTTAATTAGAAAGTATAATGAAAAGTAAATTGATAACTTTTATACATATAATCACACATAGACAAGGAAATGAAATAAGTGTCTTTGTTGATATTACACTATTACTGTATCTGAACATTAACAATGTCATGTTAAAATTTGAATTTATCATCTCAAAGTAAACGATCAATTATGAATCTTGATGACTTTTTGCACAGTGGGGGTATCACTTTGTATATCAATCGACATGATGACATTTTGTAAATTTGATGTATCACCGCCACGCATATCAGGAAAATTAATATTTCACAAATTTGGGTTTATCACTGTTACTATAGTATGTTTCACAACACGTTGCAGTATTATTCAGTTTCAACAACTTACATGTTTAAGGTATATACTATAAATATATAGTTCAAAAATGTTATAAAATAAACACAATGTATACTGACTTTGTTCCAAAGTGACAATTTTACAATGCTTTGAGACACATCACTACATAGACAAGAACAATTTGACTTGAACCAGAAGTTACATAATAATTGTGACATAATAACAGAAACAATGGAACAATGTCATATCCTGAACCATAAAAAAGAATAAAAAGACAGCAAAAAAACAACAGTGGACGATGCATTCCACAAGTCATCGTCCAATCAACACACCATAATTCTTAATTAAAAATTAAGGTAGAGATGCAGTTTACCTGACAGGTATTTTAATTAGTTAATTAGGAAACCAAGATGATCTCCCTTGTCCACAAACCTATATATTTTCGGAAAGCTTATCGTATGAATTTTAAAATTTTATGGACACTGTAGTTTGAAATGTGCACAAAAATGTGCTTTTTTTGGTCAAAAGTGATTTTAAAAAAATTAGCTTCGAAACCGTGCTTCTGTTTCCTGTCAAAATTTGTTTATGGGTACATCTGTTTACCATGAAAAAAGTGCCGTCTTGAAAACTGTCTACCAGTTGTCAATTTTGCAGGGCAGAAGCTCAAATTTCACTACTTCAAGTTTATGCATAAATTAACACCCAGGCTAGTTGTCTGTATGATTGTTGTAACACTGTTCAACCAAAAACAATGCCCCGACGCCGTTTTGAAGATTTGTGAACAAAAGGTCAAAGCGTCTAGGAGATGTGCACTGAAAAGAAGCTGAGATAATTGCTAATTTGCATAACAAATCACCCAGTAAGAAGTTTGCTAATGCCCATAATTAAAATGGCTGTAACAGTTACAAATTTAAATGTATTATCGTTTTGTTAAGTTAAGTTAAATATACTGCATAATTTGGGGATCCCGTCATTTCTTTTTTATTATTTTGTTCTTTTTTATTATTTATGTATACGAGGCGCGGAATGTAAATTTATTATTTTTTGTATACTATACAAGGCGCGGAATGTAAATTTATTATTTTTTGTATACTAGAAGAAAACGTACTAATAATTCAAAATTACGTACGTATTGGAGGCCGTGGCGTGTGTGTTTTAAAATGATGTGTGCATTTAAATAAAACGGCGTGACTGTGCGTTTTAATGGTATGTGCTTTAAAAAAATCATGTGTGTATATTAAATGAAGTGGGTGTTTTAAAAAACGTGTGTTTTAAAAATGACGTGTGTGTTTTTAAAAATGGCGTGTGTTAAAAATGACGTGTGTGTTTAAAAATGACGTGTGTGTTAAAAAC